AAGGAAAGGAAAGGAAAGGAAAGGAAAGGAAAGGAAAGGAAAGGAAAAAAATTCAAGCTAGCAAATGACTTTCCTGAGAAGCTGACTTCATTTTCTATTACAGATCCAGGGAGCCAGGGGCATCCTCTGGAGATGTCCCTAAACACAAGTTAGTTAGGGCTAGTTCTAAGATGAACTTGTAAGAAGAGGAGGGGGAGAAACTGAGCAAGAAGTATGAGCAAGAAGTGTCAGTTTTTTCATGCACCCTGCATGTTCCCACCAGGAGTCAACCAAGGTCTGGAAGGCAGATGTTGCCCTGGACAGCTGTTGGAATTAACAGAGTCGACATCACTTTGTCCTGGAGGGCCACTCAAATTTGCACATCTCTAGGTGAGACTTGATTCTGCAGAGCAGTTATCCACTGTCATCGAATATATCTAGAAGGGGACTGACTAGAAAGATCCCCAGAGTGCTCCAAGGTCACAAGGCTGGCTTGGAGTGGGGGAGCTGGGATGGGAACCCAGGTTGGATAAGGCCTGTTCCGAGACCGTCCTCCAACTCTTCTACATAGAGCACTTAAGAGCGGCCACTTCTACAACTGCCTGCTGTGTTCTCAACCATCCAAAAAGCCAACCATCGACAGAGTACTGCACATACACAGCCATACTCCGGGTAGAGGTGGGGCAGGTGGCAGGTGGCAGGCGGCAGAAATGCTGCAGTAGAGGGTAGGGACAGAACAGGCTGTAGGCGTGATGTTTTTGTGCACCGTGTGAAGGTCATCCTTGTGTTATTCAAATGCTGAGTTCTCAGCCCTCTGTCTTATTTTTATCCTGACACAGCATTGTAATGCTTAGGCCAAGAATCTCCCGTCTCAAGTTTGTGTAAACAAGTCTCATCATTTATTCTCTGCCTCTTCAATAAAAGCAGATGCAGTATCAAAGATGACTTGGGGCTGGGCTGGCATCCTCCCACCTTCCCATAGCTCAGGGCTGAGCATATATTCTGGGTGACAAGAGCAAGCCTTGTTCGGAACGTCAGACAGAGCTTTGAGATTCCCTGTTAACCAAATACCCCTGGCCCGGGGAGTGCTTTCTTCTTGCTTCCTACCAGCACCAGGAAGCGTTTTTTTCCACGACTGTCTCTGAGATAGAGAAGCCCTCCTGTGCCTGGTGTCAAGACTCCTGCATCCATCTGGTTTGTGAATGTTTAGGTGTGTATGTGTCTATGTCCATGTGTATGTGTGTGCTTCATGCAAGATGTCTGATATCTACCTTATTCCTTGAGACAGGATCTCTCACTGAATCCACAACTTATTGTTTCTGTGGCTAGCTGGCTGGCCATCGAGCCCTCAGATCCTCCTAACTCTGTCCCATAGAGTGCTTAGGTCACAGGCTCGTGGTCATACCTGCCTTTTGCCTTAGTACTGAGGACTCTGAACTCTGGGAGTCATGCTTGCTCAGCCAGCATTCTTTAAAGTTTTATGTGTATAAGTGTTTTGCCTGCATGTATGTATGTGCACCACGCTGGATGCCCAAAGTGGTCAGAAGAGGGCATCTGATCCTGAGAGTTATGGGTGGTTGTGAATCATCGGGGAACTGAACATGGAGCCATTTTTTTCTCCAGCTCCCTCAGCCAGTGCTCTTCCCGAAGAAAATGCAGAAGTCTCAGAATGGTCCAGGGCTTCTGGCAAGGAAAAAAAAATCACCAAAATCCTTTGCCCACATTTCAGATGCTTCCCATGAGTCTCCAAGCACAAAACACAAAACATTACTGTATTGTGAAACAATTGGATTAGTTTTGAAAACACCTACTCTGTTAAATATTTGAAAGAACAGAAAAAAAAAAAAAGATGAAATCGATGTGTGTGTGTCTGCGTGTGTGTGTTGGTGGTGGTGGCGGCTAAGTTGAATTAAGTAAAATTGAACTCCAAGACCAGAGATGGGCAAGCGACTTGGAAAGCCAGCTTTCCAGACTAGAGGGAGTGATGGAGAGGAAGTCTGAGCCTGGAGCTAAAGATGATCTGGTTCCCAACACAGTGGATTTTTCCCACCATTGTGTGCTTGCTCCTTTGCGGGTTGCCAGCCCTGGGAGAGTCCCGGGGGAGCCAGGACTTGGTGTTTGTAACCTTGCCATTGGGAAATGATGTCGCAGGTTAGTTACACAGGCCCTGATCGATGATGGAGGCAGCAGCAGATCAATAGATCCCATTTCCGGGGAGAATTCACCCGTGGTGACCTGCAGGGGGGCAGGTGGTTCATCAAAAGCAGGCTGGCTTGAAAGATTTCATGCTTCTCTCTTCTCTGTCCCGGTCTCCTCTTGAAGGGAGCTGTAGGCAGTAACTGGCGGGTAATAAACTACTTTTCCTTAAAGGGATCTGGGGAGATGGCAGTGGTACAAGGGACAGAAAGGTGGCCACAGATCGATCCTCTGGGAGACCGAAAGCCAGGATGGGGGCGCGCTGGGCTCACTTTCTCTGAGCCTCCCCTCTTCAAAGCTACCCTGAGTTTGGGGACTGAGTAGAGTAGCCCTTCCAGGCCTCGCAAGGCTGCAGCCCCTCGCGTCCGCCCGAGCCCCTCCCCCGGCCCGGAGCCCCTCCCCGCGCTTCCCCTCGCCGCGCTCCCCTCCCTTCCCCTCCCCTCCCTTCCCTGCTCGCCCTGCCTCCGCCTCCTGCGCCCACAGCGCCGGCCAGCGCCGAGCCCCCAGGAGCCCGAGCGCGGCCCAGGGGCGCCGTCGGCCCCTCCCCGGCGCGCTGACAGCAGGCCCGGCCCCCGCCCCGTGCCCTCGCCAGCGGGACACACCCCCAGCCCTCCTCTGCGCCGCCAGTTCCCGCCGGCCCCACCGGGCGGCAGAGAGAGCGGGCAGGCGAGCGGAGCGCGGCGGCGCGGGAGGGAAGGGGCGCACGGCAGGCCCACGGGAGCAGCCCGGGGCGCACGGAGCCCTCGTGCCCTCTGGGACAGTCGCCTGCCCGGGAGCCGCAGCTGTGGGCTCCGGGAGCCTCGGCGGCGAGCGGCGCGTGGGGCAGGGGTGGCGCGTAACCGCAGGGACCCGGGCAGCCGGAGAAGGAGCCTGAACCCGGCCGGGATGAGAAGGTGACGCCGCCGGGGGGCGCCACTCGCTTTGTGGGGAAGATGCTCGCCTACTGCGTGCAAGATGCTACCGTGGTGGACGTGGAGAAGCGGAGGAGCCCCTCTAAACACTATGTGAGTACTGCTTCCACAGACCCCGGCGAGGGGCTGGCCAGTCCCGGAGATTCATGCCCCTAAGGGGCAGCCCTTGGCTCCAGAGTTTGTTCGCAGGGCTGTGATCTCTAGGGAAGCCTTTTCTGTCCTTCCTCCACTCCCCTGTCCCGGGTTTCTTTTTTTGGCATTGCAATTGGCAAGTGGCTGCCCTTGTCTGTTACAACGGTGAAGTCATGTGTCCGCCCGCTGCCTGGATAGATGGTGGGGGAAGCTTTCGTCAGCCCCTTGCAGAGCAGTTCCTTTGGGAGAGAGCATCTTCGCCGCGCTCCCTAGGGGCGCGGGACACTCACGCTCACTCGGTCTGGGATGCTTTCTGTTGCTTAGACTGGAGACCCACGCTTCTTTTTCTGCCTTCCACGTTTGCTGCTCTGCCTGCACCGGCCGGGGACAGAGGAAGCGCTTTGCCCCCTGCCCCCTCTACTCTTCTCTCGAGCTTTGATTTCCTTCTTAAAACCATTGTGTTCCACGGTGTGAGGAGAATTGTGGCTTTTCCTTTTATCCCTCCTCTGGACGTGACCCTTCGCCGGGGTCATTTCCTCGTAAGTGATGCTCTGACTCCAGACACGAGTAGGCAAATGTGGTCTGTGGTCTCCCAGGCACGGTTGACTGCTCCGCCGCCCCTCCCCCTTCCTTACCCAAACTTAATGAGAAGAGGCTAAGGTTGACCAGCTGGGCTTCAGAGTGTGTGACAGTCCCTTTCATCTCAGCCGGCCCTGTCTTCCAATCCTTTACACCTTTGGAAGTAAACACCGTGTCCTTGTTGCCTTAGGATAGATTGCTGAGCTCTTCTTCTGAATAGAAGAGACTCACAGTAAAGTACCCAAAACACAGAAAACATGGAGACAGTAGGGACAGCCTCTTATTTGCAAATTAGGCATTTAAAGGCGCACTTAGAATGCTCAAAGCATTAATTTTAACAATTAAAACGGGCTGTTGGTTGCTGCCCCAGATCGGCACATTAGTCTCTAAAGTGCCTTCTGTTTCCCTGTTGGAAGAAGGCTGGGGTTTGTGGTGTAATACCAGCCCGGGGCTACTCTTTCTGCCAGGATCACAGCAGACTTGAAGGCAGAGTTCTCTGCAGCTAACTAGTGGGACTGGACTCAGGTTGGAAAGAAGATAAGAGTGGTCAGACCAGAGAGGCGGATCTGTGGGGGGCATTCCCTGACACACAGTCAGAGATCCTTTCCAATTGTGTAGTCTGGTGTTAAAAGCCTCTACTGCCATTACAAAAAGCGAAAACCCCAGAATTCCTCTAGGGTCTGAGGAGGTGACTAAGTAGGAAAGTCCTTGACTAGTTTGAGGTACTTCTATTCTGAGACAGAGACAGAGAGAGGGAGAGAGAGCGGGAGAGAGAGAGAGGAGTTTGGAGGGCTTAGATCATCAGGTGCCACCCTGCTCTAAGGACTGGTGTCCACTTACACATCTCTGGGTTAAGTATGCTGCCAACCATCTTGATCGCTTGAAGGGGGGGCAGTGCATGCTGTTTTAAGGATTTTTTTTTTCAGCCTTCAGTTGAGGCTGGTACTGTCTTCAACAGATGACACGGTCTCTGCCCTGAGGTTCTTTTCAGGCTCTGAATTTTACATGAAACATCGAATTTAACTTGGAGCAGCTATACCCAAGGTTACAATGTAAGACACACTGGCAACAAAGTAGCAGTGACAGGACCAAGGCTTGCCAGCTGCTGGAAGTATGGAAAGGCAGGACAGGCTGCTGTTTGGTCTCCTTAAACTGCTTACCCACCAACTCACTGTGCAACATGGTGCATATTCGTTTTTTTTTTGTTTGTTTATTTTATTTATGAGTACACTGTAGCTGTCTTCAGACACACCAGAAGAGGGCATTCAATCTCATTACGGATGGTTGTGAGCCACCATGTGGTTGCTGGGATTTGAACTCAGGACCTCTGGAAGAGCAGTCAGTGCTCTTAACCGTTGAGCCATCTCTCCAGCCCCAGTGGTGCATATTCTTTAAAACTTCACAGGGGCTCAGTTTCCTTGTATTGAAAAAACTTAAATTCTTTTATGTGCACAGGTGTCTGTCTTGCTTGCATGTATGTCTGTGTACCACTTGCATGCAGTACCTACAGAAAGCCAGGAGGGGGCGAGAATTCCCTGGATCTGGAGTTACAGACGGTTGTGAGCTATTGGGTGGGTGCTGAGAATTGAACCTGGGTCCCCTGGACGAGCTGCTGGTGCTTATAACCGCTGAGCAATCTCTCTGGCCCTAGTTTCCTGACTTTTAAAGTGAGGGTAATAATAGTATGTACTTCACAGGGCTGTCAGGAGAATTAAATGACATCACTCCTGGGAAGGACTTAGCCCAGTTCTGGGTACAGACTGAGCACTCGTCAAATAGGAGGTCACTGTTGGTGAGAGTCTGACAAAGAAAGTTTCTGAAAACCGGCTATTAAGGGTCTGACTGAGAGGAAGAGAGACTTGGCGTTTTAAGATTGATAATGAAGTGTACTGTGTGGAAAATACAAAAGAAGTCCTGTCCACTTCCCTTGAAATGAGCATTTCCTCCCTTTCTGCAGACAGAGTGTTTCCTGGGTCATCTCCACTTCCGTGTGAGAATGAATGGATGATGTGATTCTTGGGGCAGAGAGTGACGTCACCTAGCAGATGGGATCACGCAGAGTTCTAGAAAACAATGAGCAGAGTGTGCTATATGTTGTGGCTTTGTGGAGCTGACTGGGGCAGATGGCTCATCTGGTGCAACCCTTTACTTACAGATAAGGGGACAGAAAACCAGGTGGGCTACTTACAGGGTAGCTAGTCACAATACTGGGGCTAACTGGCTTCCAGCCTGTGGTGTGGGTGAAGGTACCCCAAGTCTGGTTTAAGTTGACAAAGAAGAAAGCTACATCACTGCCCATATTGGGCACTGATACATAACACAGGGGTACCCAATAATTGAAGGGGTCCAGTAGGACTCTGGGGCAGTCTTCTGTCTTTTTGACCCCTTATATAGTAGATACCTGACACCGGAAGGGCAAGTGTTGTGGATGAGGCATTCTGGTGAGGCTGGCTGGCAGGACAAGTTGCACTCAGTCACATACCTGGTAAACCTCACACTGGGGAGCATGTCTCCTTCCATGCCTGCACCGATGGAGTGCTGAGCCTGTGCTTTGGCAAATCCCAGAGCAGAGGCTTTTATGGATATGCACATTAGCCAGAGCTTGCAGATGAGGGAGGCTTGGAGCCCACGCAGGGGGAGCATCACCGGCCCCAGAACAGTGGGAACACATGCAGAGGTTCTCTCGGGACACCCAGCAGAGGATGTGTACATCCCCACAAGGAGGGGGAGCTGCAGAGGTGGGGAGGGTGTTTCTATGCTTTGGGTCTGTTTAGAAAAGGCAGACAAGTAGCCTCCATGCTGTTCCTGGTGCAGCCAGTGCTTCCTTCCTCTCTGCCAGTCCCTGCCTCGGGTGGGGCTGGGAAGGCTGAGCAGCTGTTGCTTGGGTCAGCCTCCCTGCCTGGGAGCTGGGCTCCTGTCCTAACTGTCTTGAGCCGTTCCTTGGGAGACCTTAGGTAAACTGGCTTTGGCCCCAGACCCTGTGTCTTTAAGATGGCCCCTGCAGATGCCAGATGGAAGCTGTAGCCGCCTCCGGTTGGAGGGTTTGCTGATGTAAGCTCGAAGGCACAGAGTTCTTTGCACTCACAGGTGTGTGTATAGGTGCGTCTTGAGCCATATGGTGGCAGAAATAAGCTTGTTTATCCAAAGCAAAGGAGACATCATGTCTGTTTGGATTGGGGAGGCGTCCCTGCTTTCACAGTCGTTTCCTTTCCTGAATGTTTATTTCAGACAAATACCAGTCATGAATGCCCTGATCCTCCACAGGACTCTAGGGAATGTAAGTAAGAGCCAGTGTCAGCAGCTACTTCCATGGTGCCCAATGCTAACAGACATGCTTGCTGGAGAGACTGGTGGTTCATTTGTTGTATTGCGCGTGCGTGCGTGCGTGCGTGCGTGCGTGCGTGCATGCGTGTTGCTTTGATGCTTACTACAGATGAACTAACCAAAGCTTGGTGAAGTTGCTTGGGACTCCCACTTAGCATCAGAGGGGTCTAGGTAAACACAGGTGAGTTGACTGCCCAAGGAGAAGCCCAAGATAGGGCCGTTCCCACTTAGTTAGTGAGTAAGTCCAGGCTCAGGTCTGTGTGACAGTGAATAGAGTGGTGACACAGGGTGGCATTTGTGGGCTGCCTTTCTGGAAAGGTTGCTCATCATGTGTCATGAAACTGGATTTGACTGGAGGAGGGAGAGGTTGCTGGGGGGGAACAGTATCTGTCTCCTGTGAGTCCAGGAAAGAAATGCAGGGCGGACCTTTGAGACTAATGTATTCTCCCTGATTTACATCATCACAGATCGCAGTTGTGGTCCCAGGAGTTGCGTGTTTAGGAATTGGCACCAAACTCCTTCATTTCTCTGCTCTTCATTTTTAATTCCTAAGCCTGAGATTATGGTTCCAGCCTCATGGGAGCGAGAAGGGCAGCCTCAGGTTGCAAAGAGCCCTTTTTAGGGCTCCCTTGTATTATGGACAGATTGGGGTTCAAATACCACCTCTGGTACTTCCTAACTGTACAAGCTTGGATCAGTGACTCTGTGCTGAGTGTCCTCACCTGTAACCTCACAGCACTTCGAGGATGGTTCTGGACAGCCACTGCATGCCGTTCACCAAAGCACTGAGGTACATCTAGGACTCCTGAGGGAAAGCTGAGAGAAAAGGCAAAACTAGGCTGAAAGGAAGGCCCAGCTGTTGAAGAGTCTGATGGGACACTGGGCTGCCTGCCCCATGGAAAGCACCCAGCATGCATGACAGCAGCAAACAGAGGGCAGCTGTTCAGACCTGGAGGGGACCCTGGCTGAGCGCTGGGGCCTAGCGTTAGATTTCTGATAAGCTAAGGAGAGAAAGAATGTGGGCTGGAAAGAAGGGGAGGGGTGGCTCCAGGTAAGGT